CAGAGAAACAGAAGAGAGACAGAGATAGAGGGAGAGAGACAGAGAGAGAGGGAGACCGAGAGGGCAGGGGGAGAGAGAGAGAGACAGAAACAGAGAGAGGGAGAGAGAGATGGAGAGAGAGACAGAGAGAGAGGGAGAGACAGGGGAAGGGAGACAGAGAGAGAGTCAGAGAGAGAGGGAGAGAGAGGGGGAGACAGAGGGAGAGAGAGAGACAGAGAGAGAGACAGAGGGAGAGAGAAACAGAGAGAGTGGGGGAGACAAAGAGACAGAGATGGAGAGAGAGGGGGAAATAGAGAAGGAGAAAGAGGATGAGAAAGAGGGGGGAGAGAAAGGGGGGGGAGAGAGAGAGACAGAGAGAGATGGAGAGAGAGAGGGAGATAGAGAGGGAGAAAGAGAGGGGGAGAGAGACAGAGAGGAAGAGAGAGACAGAGAGAGAGAAAGAGAGAGAGAAAGAGAGAGACAGAAGGAGGAAAGAGGGGGGGAGAGAGACAGAGAGGAAGAGAGAGACAGAGAGAAAGAGAGAGAGAAAGAGAGAGACAGAAGGGGGAAAGAGGGGGGGAGAGAGAGACAGAGAGATGGAAAGAGAGAGAGAGAGAGGGAGAGAGAGGGAAATAGAGAGGGAGGGAGAGAGAGAGAGATGGAGAGAGAGAGAGGGAGAGGGAGAGAGAGGGAAATAGGGAGGGAGAGAGAGACAGAGAGATGGAGAGAGAGAGAGGGAGAGGGAGAGAGAGGGAAATAGAGAGGGAGGGAGAGAGAGACAGAGATGGAGAGAGAGAGAGGGAGAGGGAGGGAAATAGAGAGGGAGGGAGGGAGAGGGGAAAGAGATGGAGCAGGGGACAGACAGAAACACAGGAAACCTAATTCTAGGACCAAAGGAAGTTTTTCATAATTTCTTCATAGTAAAACAACTTAATAATAACCTAAGTTCAATAAAAATAAGAATTTAAAATAAGGTAATAAAATGAAGTGATATGAAGAGACAGATTGCAGATCTAAGGAAACAAATTGAAGACCAAAATAACACCATTAAGGTCCTAATAAAGAACCTAAAAGCACTGAGAAATATAATAGCACCATTAAAAATCAATGTTTTAAGAATTCTGTATACTACTTTTATTGGTAAAACAACCCTTTTATTATTATAGAAGTAATAGATACACATTTTAGAATATTAGAAAATATAAGCAAAATGAGAAAACACTTGTGGTCAGGAGTTTGAGACCAGCAGGGTCAACATAATGAAACCCTGTCTCTACTAAAAATACATGGCGGGCCAGGCACTGTGGCTCACGCCTGTTGTCCCAGCACTTTGGGAGGCCGAGGTGGGTGGATCACCTGAGGTTAGGAGTTTGAGACCAGTCTGATCAACATGGCGAAACCCATCTCTGCTAAAAAAATAAATAAATACATACAAAAATTAGCTGGGTTTGGCAGCATGCATCTGTAATCCCAGCTATTCGGGAGGCTCAGGCAGGAGAATCACTTGAACCTGGGAGGTGGAGGTTGCCGTGAGCCAAGATCGCGCCATTGCACTCCAGCCTGCAGGGCAAGAGTGAAACTCTGTCTCAAAAAAATAAATACAAAATAAAAATACATGATGGCACATGCCTGTAGTCCCAGCTACTCCGGAAGCTGAGGCAGGAGAATCGCTTGAACCCAGGAGGTGGAGGCTGCAGTGAGCCGAGATTATGCTGCTGCACTCCAGCCTGGGAGACAGAGTAAGACTCCGACAAAAAAATAAAAATGAAAATTCCACGTTTCCACAGTGCAGACCCTTCAGCCCCTTCCTTGTGCGAACACTCACACAGCCCACACCTGCGTGGGCACCCGGCACACACCCCTCACCGCTGCCTGCTTAGATCGGTGCACGGTCCCCTTCCTTCCGTTTCACACTGTTTTGACTCAGTGAATACTCAGGCCTGAACTGACCTAAAAACTGTCCCGGGCAGTAGGTCTGTGGAAAGCAGAACCCATCGGGAGCTACATGTGGCCCTGGGCTGTCGTGCCACCAAGCAGAGTCCGGCCTGCTGAGGGGACACCGGACGCTGGTTCTGCAGGCGCCTCGGTGGCTGGACGGTCGCGTTGCTCTGCCTGGTGTTCTTAGCTCCACCTCTGCCGTTATCTGGACGCTGCAGGTTACTCTAAAGGCTTTCTGAAATCACCAGAAGTCTGGCGTGTCCGCTTTCCACAGGCCGCGCTGTGTCTGTCAAGTTCCTCACAACAATGACAGCACCAGTGTGAGCCACGGCGAGGTCAGCCCGGGGAGGGAGCGAGCACACGCTGCCTCCTCCATTTCCAGCCGCCTCGCCACGCCCGCGTCCGGAAGGTCATCTTCACGGGGTTGCACTGGTGCCCTGTGGACACAGCCCCTCGTCTGCCATTCCCGGAATTGTTTTAATGCCAGTTGATAATCCTTGCCTGGAGCCATAATGTCACCAGCATTTACTGAGTTATATTTTTCAAATTCTATTATCATTTCTATTTCGTATTATCTGTCACTGAAAATCAAATATCGCCCTAGGAGAAAATCTTGAAATCAACAGAGTAAATGTAGATGAAAGAGACGTCGAGAGAGAAGCTAATCAACATGAAAGACGTGCAAAGAATCAACATAAGGAAAAAGGGTTTCCCTGAAGTCAAGAGCCCAGCAAGTGGAAGACATGGTGTCTCCAAAGACAAATTTCTCTAAAACAACAATAATAATAATAAACACACTGGACTGGCGGATCTGAAGAGGGTATTATTTTCCAGAAAATGCTGAAAGAAAACATCCGACCCTGAGCACTGAGGGTAAAGAAGACTCTTTAGGCAACAAAAAGTAAACCATTTACAAGAAGATAATCAGCCACACTGGCCTCAGTCGTTCCCATCCGTCTTCGGAGCCAAAAGACACGGGAAAACCACGGCTGGGTGTGGAGGGAACGGCTGCAGGGCCCGGCTGGGTGTGGAGGGAACGGCTGCAGGGCCACAGAAGCCACACCCAGCTAAGGCAGCACCTGGTTCGCAGGCAGAGGTGCTCACCCTCCAGCATGAAGGAACGTCAGCACCCAAGAGCCCTTCCTGAAAACACAGATTCCAGCCGGCAAAGCAATCCAGAGTGGAATCCAACTTCAGGAATAGAGAAGCGGCAGCCACGGTGTTCGCGGGAGCACGGGGTTGTGGAAAGACGGCCCATACCCAGTGGCGCAGGCATTATCGTCACAGAGTGCAAACCAACGTTGCAAAGCAGGACAATCTAAAAGCAAGGATAAAACCAACAACAGTCGGAAGGTGGGAGGAAAAGAGGCAGAAGCACCAACACACGAATTCTTCATGTTTTACCGCCATGTCTGAAAGTGTCATACATCCTTAAAAGATGACTCGAAGCTTGCAGTGCTTTGTAAACTTTTTACAACAGCCTTAGAGAGCACTCTCAAAAATAAGTTGACAGAGAACCACGCATTTGCCAGTCAAAAGAACTCCATGAGTTTCCTTCTCTCATCTTAAGCTCAAGTGAATGAAATTTAACTCTGACTGAAAATAGCACCTGCAGCGTGTTCAGAGTGTTTCTGCTCCTCCGTTATTCACCTGGAGTCACGATCACTGGATACCAGTGCCAGCTTTTCCTGGGCGAAGGCATTTTTTTCTTGGCACATTTCCGCATTGATTAAATTCTTTGTAATGAGCGTGTGTGATTTTTACAGAAACAATCGAGTACCTTGAATGGAGGAAAAGCACAGAGGGGCTGGAAGCAACCATGCAGGATTTTACACGTTTTTAATGCTGGGTCATGACCAAAGGAATATTTCCGCCCTGTTCACAGTTTTTTAAATCTTTTTAAAGGAGAGGAACACGGCTCCACCTTTCACACCGTATTTTCCTTTGTCTGTTTCTCATCTGATGAATTTCATTACAGTCCATGAATCTGACACAGCAAAGCAGCTCACCGCCCTCAGGAGAGGCCCCTCTGTCCTGGCTGCCCTTCAGGTGCAGGCAAAGTGATTCCCAGGGCTCCGGGAACAGCCACGTGCCTAGACGGCCCAGGTGGCATTGAGCCGGCCACAGAGGTCACAAATGTACCACAAGGAGAACAAAGGCCGAGGAGGGGTCAGCCATTGGCCCCGGTCCAGGGGGGTCTTCCTGGTGGACAAACAAGATTTCAGCCACCACAGTGCAATCCCTGAACTGGGGCTAGAGCAGGCATTGGAGCTAAGGGGGTGTCAGGATGTGAGCGAGGCTCCTGCAGCCCCCAGAACACGGAGATCAAAGACCCCAGAGCAAGCCTGGATTCCTGGAGCCCTGGCCTCAGAGCTGTGGCCGCCCTGTCGAAGACAGTGTGTCCCTCCTCCACCTCTGCCCTCCTTCCTCGTCCTCAGCTCACACGAGGCAGCACCCTGTACACAGGCACACAGAAGCCACACCCAGCTAATTTGCGGGTGTGCAGCAAATTAATCCACAGAAGAGTCCCTGCTCCCCAGGGCCCTGAGCTGGCCTCGTGCCCTCTACCCCCGCCCCAGTCACTCCAAAACCTGAGCAGCTTTTCTCTCCTTGGGCAACTGGCTCACTTCGGGTCTAGGTTGTCACCCTCCCTCCTGCCTCGGTGCCTCACTGTGAGGAGAGAGAGTTGGCTGTGTGGAGCCCTGCACTGCAGGGGAGGGCATGGGGAAGACCGGGTTCCGGGCTCAGGGAGCCTGGCCTGCCGCACAGGGGCCCCCGTCCTGGGCTGGAACGCCAGAGCCAGGCACTGCCCAGCCACCAGGAACTGCTCGGTCCAGATGGGAGATTGTGTTTCTGAGGGCAAGGAAGAGGAAGAGGTTCCCCACGGCCCTCCCTTCTCAGCCACCCCCACCCTAGCCTACACCATCTTCTCGGAACGATCTCGAAGGACGTGCTCAGTCGCCAGGACTTAGGGCCTATGGAGGGAGATCCTGAAAGTCCACCACAAGACGCTCGCACCTCCCACCCCTCATGGGGCAAGGGGCTCACCAGGCCTTCTCAGAGCAGGAGAAAAGCACAGGCCGGGTCCTAGTGAAGGGGGTGACCGTGATCCAGGGTGGAAATCCCTGTGGAGAGGCCGTCACAGGTGGGGTCTGGAACCAGCACGCCCTCCTGAAATGGGGAGAGGGCTCTGGCCCACCCACCGCCCATGTACAAACCCTCAGCCCAGGGAGACTCGCTCGCCCACTCAGCAGGCCTTCCCGAGACGGCACCGTGGACCAAGGACACAGCTCAGAGTAAATACACTGTGTCCCTGCCCTCCAGGTAACCTGGCAGTGGGTGAGGCACGTTAATCAAGGAAATAAATGAGCTCCATAAAGAAAAACGAGTAGTGAAGAAGCGGGCATTGCTTGAGTGGGCGGCAGGGGTGGCCGGGGCCACTGAGCTTCCCCCTGAATGATGAGTGGGGAGAGTGGGCTGAAGGGAGGCCCCCAGAACCACTGACCACGCCCACGCCCCAGGGCCTGTGATGGGACCGTGTTTGGAAATCGATGTCACTGCAGATGTACTGGGTTAAGGATCCAGAGATGAGACCGTCCCGGATTTAGAAGGATCCTACATCCAATGACAAGCATCGTATACATAACAGAGAGAGAGAGGAGACATGAGCTCCGAGAGAGGGAGACGTGAGCTCAGAGAGAGGGGAGGGAGACGTGAGCTCAGA